GTTTATACATGCACTTTAAGATCTAGAGTTCAGGTTTATACATGCACTTTAAGATCTGTAGTTCAGGTTTATACATGCACTTTAAGATCTGTAGTTCAGGTTTATACATGCACTTTAAGATCTAGAGTTCAGGTTTATACATGCACATTAAGATGTATAGTTTAGGTTTATACATGCACATTAAGATGTATAGTTTAGGTTTATACATGCACATTAAGATCTAGAGTTCAGGTTTATACATGCACATTAAGATCTAGAGTTCAGGTTTATACATGCACATTAAGATCTTTTTTAGTTTTAGTCATATTTGCACAAATTTAGCACACATTTAGCACAAATAATCAAGTCATAGTCTTACCATGCAGTTGCTTTGGTTTCTGATCCGACAAGTGACCAATCACTTTGAATGTTATGCAGTACAGTTAGGTATTAGGTTGGTGGCGGTACAGTTAGGTGTTACGTTGGTGGCGGTACAGTTAGGTGTTACGTTGGTGGCGGTACAGTTAGGTGTTACGTTGGTGGCGGTACAGTTAGACATTTAAAAGATAGCTTGATGACAACTAATAACCAATAGAATAATGAATGTCAGCGTATGTTCAGCTGTAGAATTGGATGGACTAGTGTCTGTACTAAACTACTGTTACTAGGCTAGGCTTAGTAATTTTATGTACCATTACTATAGTTACACTGTATTTTGATGTTGTGCAGTGAGTAACAGTCCTTAATCTCCTCTCCTTTACATAAAAAGGGGGGAGGAGTTACTGCAATTCCTTTATGTCTGTCAAAATGCCTTTACGAAAACTATAATTTTCCCACAATAAGACTTAACGTTTGCTAGTCACCACTCTAATTTCAAACTAGGCCTAGGCCCATTCTAGAATAAAGACCGAAAATGTTGTGAATTATAGAGATGAGTTAATTAGGGCATTTTATAGTTTTAAAGATATGTATATTGGCAAGTACATAAAATAAATAAAAAAAATGAAGAAGAAGGAAAAGTAGGCTTAGTATAAGATATTGTAATTTAGTTTATGTTTGGTTTCTGTAACATATTGTGTTACCATGTGTTCAGTTATAGACATAGTGTAATGTTACTGTGTGTTTTGGTTATAGGCATCAACATAGTGTTATTACATGTTAGTTCTAAACTTAATGTTTAATTACAATTACAGTTAATGTAAGCTGAATTGTAAGCATCAGTACAGAACTAACACTGAATTAATTACAGACCTAATGTTAAAGTTCAGTTTAGGTTTAGTACATATGCAAGGCATCAAGTCTGAGACAGGGACTATTCTTTTTAGTAAGATCAGTTCTAATGTTGACTACCTGGAACTTAGTTGTATGCAACATTAAGGCAGATGGATCTCTAGAATATGGGATCGATGGCCAACACAACACAGATTAGCAAGCTATACCAGATTGTGCCATACATACTGGGTAAGTTGACAGATCATCAAGTAGATAGGATGTTTTGCCATGAAACAACACAGAGATATTCAATTGCCAGTTACGAGGAACTAACTGGCACAAAGTCCTGTGCCAAGGAGACTCCATAGCACTGGAAAGGTATCTTTATGTTATTGGCCAGTGTGCCTCCACCTCAACAATGGCAGTCCAATTTTAAGTAGCTACTGGCTTGCAGTTTCTTGCCTGTTGTGTTAGGGTGTGGTGGACAGGTCTAGGAACAAGAGTTCTAAACAGCAGGGGGTTAATGCATTGCATACAAACAATGATCCATTAAAAATCAACACCCAGACAGGTGCCTACAAGAGCAACCAAGCTCATGCACTCAGCAGAGCAACTCAACTGATTAGCAGAAGATCGAAAAGAACAGAGAAACTGAGGGCTAAACATCAAGCTGATAAATGAAACATGCACCAAATGTCTACCAGTCCACATTATGATAAGTTATTCCAATGATCAAATACTGCCTTGGGGAGCCCTCTGAATTTTATGAAACCATACTCTTTCAATTGACTAAACTCTCACTGGCCTTAACTTCATACCACATGCTGACACATAGGCTGGGATGGTCAGTGCAGTTCAACATAACAGCAACATTCACTGTAAACATTATGACAGCTACATTAGAGAGAAGTTCAAGCCATAGTGGTCCTTATTCAAGTTACAACTACATGCAGGTATGGAAGCCATCCAAGATAACCAAAGCTAAAATACACATCAATGCACTTAAAGTTGCAGCAAATTAGAACTGTACCAAAGTCTTATCCTATCTACTCTGGATTATTCACTATTGATTGTTAGTACGAGTACGACACAGCTAGATAAGATTGAAACAGTACAAAATACCTGATTACAACTAGTCACAGGATATACTTCAGCTACCCCCATCAAGGCCCTATTGTGCCTCAAAAGCCTTAGTAGTATTGCAAGGCACCATGAGTGTGTACAAGCAAAATTCTTCACTGAGGCCTTGCAATGTAAAGACTATGAATTCCATCATTGATCCTTTTTTACTTGGGACATTACAGCTCCACATTGACCCAGTAAGACACCATGCAAGTGACTACCTAAAAGATGCTTCAGGAGACAGAGATTGGTGAAGAGGTACTATAAAGTTACTACTGATAAGTCACAACCAGATTTCAGGCACCCTCCTCCCATGTGGCATCACTAGGATCTTTGTAGATCAGCCTAGAAATAAAATATAGAAGTTGGACAGAGGATGAAGCTGAAAAAAGCATGTCAGCAACTATTTATAGACCATGCAATCCATATACAAAGATGGTTCTCACACCACAGATATCGAGAAAGCTGGATGAGCATTCATCATCACACAGAACAACAACATTCAGGTTGGGTATTCATCATCCCATGTAACAACAACATTCTGCATAAAGCTGATGAAGCATTCAAGCTTCTGACAAATAGCACAATAATATCTAACTGTACCGCCACCCACGTAACACCCCTTCAGGTTATTAGTT